ACCTCCACACTGTTTTCCAAAGTGGCTGTACCAACTTGCATTCCCACCAACAGTGTAAGAGGGTTCTCCTTTCTCCACAACCTCTCCAACATTTGTTTTTTCTTGCCGTGTCAATTTTTGCCGTTCTGACTGGTGTAAGTTGGTATCTCAAAATGGTTTTAATTTGAATTTCCCTGGTGGCTAATGATGATGAACATTTTTTCATGTGTGTGTTAGCCATTTGTATGTCTTCTTTTGAGAAGTGTCTGTTCATGTCTTCTGCCCATTTTTACCCACAGAATGGGAGAAGATATTTGCAAATGACAATACAGACAAAGCATTGATTTCCAAGTCTATAAAGAACTTCTCAAACTCAACACCCCCCCAAAATATATATATATATTATATATATATAAATTTGAGAAACAAGACAGAGGATCATAGGGGACGGGAGGGAAAAATGAAACTAGACGAAACCAGAGAGGGAGACAAACCATAAGAGACTCAACCTCAGGAAACAAACTGAGTGTTGCTGGAGTGGAGGGGGGTGGGAGAGATGGGGTGGCTGGGTGATGGACATTGGGGAAGGTATGTGCTATGGTGAGTGCTGTGAAATGTGCAAGACTGAGGAATCACAGACCTGTACCACTGTAATAATACATTATATGTTAATAAAAATAAGAGATGGATCAAATATATATATATAATATATAAATTTGTTTCTGATATGCAAAAGCAATTGGCAATACTTTTACAGCATTTGATGTATAGAATGAAAATTTCATACAGTACTCATTTTGATATTAAAAAAATTCTCATAAAAAATTTTTATTACAAGCCTGACTGAATGATACTGTTCTCTTCAATTTCTGGTTATGGTAATTAAAACCTTCATTAAGTCTGTTAACAAATCATTACCTGTACATTTATGAAGGCAACTGACATGATTTGCAAACAAAACCTTCAGGTTTTATGTTATTTAGCAAAGAGTGCAGTTTGGCAAGAACAGAAAGCTCAGTATGCAAATTTATAAACTGTTTTACAAATTTAGCAGTTTTTGTGACACAAACTGGTTCAACCTTTCAAGGTACCATCTATAAATTTCCACATCATTTTGCCCTGCCCCCTTGACCCACAGAGGCTCCATGGGTCTTTGACAATGCTCAAACAATGGAAGGCCACGTGAGAAGTCATTGACTTCATCTTCAGCCCCATGAATTATTAATACAGGAGATGTTATCTTAGAGTTTTTGTCAATGTTTGGGAATGTATCCAAACAGTAGGTCTTCTTAGTGTCAGGAAAAGTGACTTCCATTCCCGAGGTCAAAGGAGAATGAATAGTAGCAGCAGCACTCTCAGACTGAGCAGCAAGACCCACAGATGGTCCTGTCCCTCTACTATGTCCATATTTACTCACATTTTCAGGGTCAATGCCATATCTTGTCATAAGAACAAGCCAAGCAGCTTCTATATCTGCATAGAGGTTCTTCTCCAGGCTGGCTATGTGTCGTTTTTCACTTGGGCTATTTTTAATAGGACCTATTGATTTGGATTCCTGTCTGAGAATTTAATGGATTCATTCCTGAATGCAGGAGATAAGAGAACATGTGATTCATAACTTTTATATTTAACAATGTAATAAAAAACAAAGCTCACACAGAAATATTAAGTTGCCTTTCCTTGATGAATTTTGCCTGAATAAAGTAATGAAAGAAAAAGAAAAAAATGGATGAAAGACCTCATTGTGAGGCAAAAAATCTATCAAAACCGTAGAGGAGAACACAGGCAGAAACCCCTTTTGACCTTGGCCATAGTGACTTATTAGACACATAGCCAGAGGCAAGGGAAACAAAGGCAAAAATGAATTATTGGGACCTCATGAAGATTAACAGCTTCTGCATAGTGAAGGAAACAATCAACAAAACTAAAATGATGCCTACAGAATGGGAGAAGATATTTGCAAATGACATATCTGATAAAGGTTTAGTATTCAAAATCTAGAAAAACTTATCAAACTCAATACCCAGAAAATAAATAATCCACTTAAGAAATGGGCAGAAGATATGAATAGACACTTTTCCAAAAGAAGACACCCAGATGTGTATAACCCAGTTATCCCAACCCCCACCCACCTCCCTATCTGCAACCTTCAGTTTGTTTCCCAGAGTCAAGAGTCTCTCATGGTTTGTCTCCCTCTTGATATCTTCCCATTCATGAATCATTGAAGATTATATTAAAAACTAATGATGTGCTATATGTTGGCTAATTGAATTAAAAAAAAAAAAGACATCCAGATGGCCTACAGACACATGAAAAGATGCTCAACATTACTCATCATCAGGGAAATACAAATGAAAACTATAATGAGATACTACCTCACACCTGTCAGAATGGCTAAAATTAACAACACAAGAAACAACAGGTATGGGTGAGGATGCAGAGAAAGGGGAACCCTCTTATACTGTTGGTGGGAATGCAAACTGTTGCAGCCACTCTGGAGAACAGTTTGCAGGTTCTTCAAAAAGTTAAAAATAGAACTACCCTATGATCCAGCAATGGCACAACTAGGTATTTACCCAAAGCATACAAATATAAAGATTCGATAGAAAGACTTCCAAAAAGAAATGAGAAACGACCCAAATAAATAAAATCATGAATGAAAGAGGAGGGATCACAACCAACACTGAAGAAATAGAAACAATTAGAATATTATGAGCAACTGCATGCCAACAAACTGGGAATCTGGAAGAAATGGATACATTCCTAGAGACAAACTACCAAAACTGAAACAGGAAAAAATAGAAAATCTGAACAGACCCATAACCAGGGCTCATGCTACTCAAAGCAATCTACACATTCAATGCAATACCATTCAAAATACCACCAGCATTTTTTCACAGAGCTAGAACAAACAATCAAAAACTGTATTCAACCAGAAAAGACCCTGGATAACCAGAGGAATGTTGAAAAAGAAAGCCAGTAAGAAATGCAGAGGGACACTATATCATACTTAAAGGGTCTATCCAACAAGAAGATCTAACAGTTGTAAATATCTATGCCCCCAACATGGGAGCAGCCAACTACATAAGCCAACTGTTAACCAAAATAAAGAATCATATTGATAATAATACTTTAAAAATAGAAGACCTCAACGGTTCTATTACAATCAGCAATAGACAGATAATCTAAGAAGAAGATCAACAAAGAAACAAGAGCTTTAAATGACACATTGGACCAGATGGACTTCATAGATATATACAGAACATTCCACCCTAAAACAACAGAACACTCATTATTCTCTAATGCACATGGAACTTTCTCCAGAACAGACTACATACTGGGTCACAAATCAGGTCTCAACCAATACCAAAAGATTGAGATTATTCCCTGTATATTTTCAGACCACAATGCTTTGAAATTGGATCTCAATCAGAAGAAAAAAATTGGAGGAATTCAAACACTTGGAAGTTAAAGACCATCCTCCTAAAGACTGGGTCAACTAGGAAATCAAAGAAGAACTTAACAATTCATGGAAACAAATGAGAATGAAAACAAACTGGTCCAAAACCTATGGGATACTGCAAAGGCGGTCCTAAGGGGGAAATACATAGCCATCCAAGCCTCACTCAAAAAAGTAGAAAAATCTTGAATGCACAAGCTAACCTTACACCTAAAAAAGCTGGAAAAGGAAGAGCAAATGAAACCTAAACCAAGCAGGAGAAGAGAAATAATAAAGATTAGAGCAGAGATCAATGAAATAGATATGAGGAAAAGAGTAGAGCAGATCAATGAAACCAGAAGCTGGTACTTTGAAAGAATTAAGATCAATAAACCACTGGGCAGACTTATCTAATAGAAAGGAGAGAGGACCTAAGTTAATAAAATCATGAATGAAAGGGGAGAGATCATGACTAACACCAAGGAAATAGAAACAATTATTAGAAATTACTATCAGCAACTATATGCCAACAAATTAAGCAACCTGGAAGACATGGATGCCTTCCTGGAAACTTATAAACTATCAAGACTGAAACAGGAAGAAGACAACCTGAATAGGCCAATAACCAGTAACGAAATTGAAGCAGTAACCAAAAACCTCCCCAAAAACAAGAGTCCAGGGCCAGATGGCTTCCCAGGGGAATTCTACCAAACATTTAAAAAAGAAATAATACCTATTCTTCTGAAGCTGTTTCAAAAAATAGAAACAGAAGGAAAACTTCTAAAGTCGTTCTTTGAGGCCAGCATTACCTTGATCCCAAAGCCAGGCAAAGACCCCATCAAAAAGGAGAAGACCTTTTGGTCTTCAGACCTATTGGTCTGAAGACCAATATCCCTGATGAACATGGATGCCAAAGTACTCACCAAGATCCTAGCCAATAGGATCCAACAGTACATTAAAAGGATTATTCACCACCACCTGGAGGGATTTATTCCTGGGATGCAAGGATGGTTCAACATTCGCAAATCAACCAATGTGATAGAGCACATTAATAAAAGAAAAGACAAGTACCATATGATCCTTTCAATTGATGCAGAAAAAGCAATTGACAAAATACAGCATCCTTTCCTGATCAAAAGTCTTCAGAGTGTAGGGATAGAGGGAACATTCTTCAATTTCATAAAAACCATCTATGAGAAGCCCCCAGCAAATATCACTCTCAACTTTTCCCTTAAGATCAGGAACACGACAGGGATGCCCACTCTCACCACTATTGTTCAACATAGTACTAGAAGTCCTAGCATCAGCAATCAGACCACAAAAAGAAACAAAAAGTATTTAAATTGGCAAAGAAGAAGTCAAAGTCTCTCTCTTCCCAGATGACATGATACTTTATGTGGAAAACCCAAACGATTCCACACCCAAATTACTAGAACTCATACAGCAATACAGTAATGTGGCAGGACACAAAGTCAATGCACAGAAATCGGTTGCATTTCTATACATCTACAATGTAACTGTAGAAAGAGAAATTAAGGAATTGATTCCATATACAGTAGCACCAAAATCCATAAGATACCTCGGAATAAACCTAACAAAAGAGGTAAAGATCTATACTCCAGAAACTACAGACACTTATGAAAGAAACTGAGGAAGACAGAAAGAGATGGAAAAACATCCCATGATCATGGACTGGAAAAATAAACATTGTGAAATGTCTATGCAGTCTGCACTTTCAGAGCAATCCCTATCAAAATACCATTGACATTTTTCACAGAGTTGGAACAAACAATTCTAAAATTTGTATGGAAACAGAAAAGACCCGAATTGTCAGGGGAATGTTGAAAAAGGAAGCCAAAGCTGTGGGCATCACAATGCCTGACTTCAAGCTATATTACAAAGCTGTGATCCTCAAGACAGCATGGTACCAGTATAAAAACAGACACATGGATCAATGGAACAGAATGGAGACCCCAGAAATGGACCCTCAACTCTATGCTCAATTAATCTTCAACAAAGCAGGAAAGAATATCCAATGGAAAAAAGACAGTCTCTTCAATAAATGGTGCTGGGAAAATTGGACAGCCAAATGCAGAAGAGGGAAGGTCGACCATTCTCCTATACCATACACAAAGATAAACTCAAAGTGGATGAAAGACCTCAATGTGAGAGAGGAATCCATCAAAATCCTAGAGGAGAACATAGGCAGTAACCTCTTTGACATTGGCCACAGTGACTTCTTTCAAGGCATGTCTCTAAAGGCAAAGGAAACAAAAGGAAAAGCAAACTTCTGGGATTTCATCAAGATAAAAAGCTTCTGCACAGCAAAGGAAATAGTCAACAAAACCAAAAGACAACTGACAAAATGGGAGATGATATTTGTAAATGACATTACAGATAAGGGATGGTATCCAATACCTATAAAGAACTTTTCAAACTCAACACCCCCCCCCAAAAATAATCCAGTCAAGTAATGGGCAGAAGACATGAAGAGACACTTCTCAAAAGAAGACATACAAATGGCTAACAGACATATGAAAAAATGCTCCGTATCGCTAGCTATCAGGGAAATAGAAATCTAAAGCACAATGAGATATCACCTTACACCAGTTAGAATGGCAAAATTTGTTTTTAAATTTTTTATTGTTATATTAATCACCATACATTACATCATTAATTTTTGATGTAGTGTTCCATGATTCATTGTTTGTGTATAACACCCAGTGCTCCATGCAGAATGTGCCCTCTTAAATACCCATCACCAGGCTAACCCATCCTTTCACCCCCCCTCCCCTTTAGAACCCTCAGTTTGTTTTTCAGAGTTCATCATCTCTCATGGTCCGTCTTGCCCTCCAATTTCCCCTCCTTCATTCTTCTCCTCCTGCTATCTTCTTTTTCTTCTTCTTTTTAACATATATTGTATTATATGTTTCAGAGGTACAGATCTGTGATTCAACAGTCTTGCGTAATTGACATCACTCACCATGGCACATACCCTCCCCAATGTCTATCACCCAGCCACCCCATCCCTCCCACCCCCCACTACTCCAGCAACCCTCAGTTTGTTTCCTGAGATTAAGAATTCCTTATATGAGTGAGGTCATATGATATATGTC